TTTATTTTATTTCTTTAAACATATTAAATATATTTATTTTGTATTTTATTCCTGACAAAACTAGTAATTTTGCAGGTCTGATTAGGTATGTGTTTTATCATTCATGGAGGTTTATTTTGTGTTAATTTGGTAAGTTTCATCATGAGCTCATGACTCTTATGTTTTTCCGGGGAAATTCTTTGATATCTGGATTTAAAATGTACTCTCTAAAGAGGATTTTTGTTGTTGTAATGAATGTTTCGTGTGTGTGTGTGTGTGTGTGTGTGTGTGTGTGTGTGAGTATTTATTTATTTATTTATAGACCGGGTGTGGTGGCTAATGCCTATAATCCACGCACTTTGGGAGATCGAGGTGAGAGGATTGCCTGAGCCTATGGGTTCGAGACTAGCCTGGGCAACTTGGCGAGACCTCATCTTCACAATAAATCAAAAAAATTAGCCAGGTGTGGTGGTGCCTGCCTTTAGTTCCAGCTATTTGGAAGGCTGAGGTGGAAGGATCACCTGAGCCCAGCAGATCAAGGCTGTGGTGGCTGTGAGCATGCCACTGTACTCCAGCCTGGGTGACAGAGTGAGAGACTCCAACTCAAAAACACAAAACAAAACAAAAAAACAGAAAAAGAAAAAAAAAAAGAAATTTTCAGGGGATATTGTATATTTTGAGTCAAGGTCAGGTCAGAACCAAGGCTAGGTCAGACACTTATCTTGATCCGTTCCCTTTTTGAGCTTTTTTCTTCCTCTAATTTTAGCTACTGAGAATGTCTTCTTTTGGGGAGACAGTATTATAAGTACATCATGGTTCCAAACTCCAAGTCTGCTTAAAATTCTAGGCTTTCTTTATCTCTTATGTCCTGCATAGGTAACTCATCAAACCCTGACTCTGGACCCCCCAAAATCCACTGGCTCTCCAAAAGCAAATTCCAGGTCTGGGGCTTGTGCATCCTTCTGAATCCTTACTTTCTACCTTTTCTCTTTTGCTGTCACAGATTTTTGTCAGCTCAAACATGAATAAACTGATACTTTTTATATTTTATCCAGAATTCTTGACTTTTGGTTTATTAGGAAAATTCTTTCTCAATATAAAGTTTCCAATATTGCTGAAAATAGCTGGCCTTAACCAATATTTGTTGGATGATAAATAAATTGGTTTCTCTAACATACATAAAATTCTTTTTCTGTCTTCCATTATTGTGTCATTAATAAACTGTCATTCAGGATGAAATAAACTGATGAACTGTCATTTAGGATGAGAAAAAGTAGTGGGTTAAGAAATTTCATATACTAAAAAGAAATGCCTATTTTTTTTCATAGGAGCAAACCTGAAAAACATCAAGTACAGAACTGGAAGTAGGGAAGGAGACTTTCTGAGTAGAGAGGGAGAAACAGACCAAGTAACTCAGATCTGCACTGGAGATCCCTTGGCTGTTTCTCTTAAGTATTTTTCTTGATGTCTAACCACTAGCATGCAGTCCCTAAAGGGCTTCTGCTCCCCCTCAACTCTCGGCAAATGATCATAAATGTGTTGCCTTGGGGTGTTCTGGAAGTCTTCACTTCCAGAACCTATCTTCAATAGATTCTCGGAAACTGTGACTTTAAGTGAAATGATGTACTGTATAACAAGGCCAATTTTACCACAGTGAGTGATACAAATAAGAGTTAAGTTCCTACAACATTACAGTTAAGTGACTTTATCTTAAGACAGGGCCAGAGGGTTTTAACATGACTAAAGTTTAGGAAATAACAAAAGGGAAATAAATGTTGGGGGTGGGGGAAGGGCAGAAAGAGAGGGAGAGTCAGAGAGAGAGAGAGAGAGAGAGAGAGAGAGAGAGAGAGAGAGAGAGAGAGAAAGTGCCAGGTATTCTTTTGTGACCTAACCTTGGAAGTCACACAGCACCACTTCCACCATACTCTGTTGATTGGAGAAGTCTCCAGTCCCTGCCTAGAGGTAGGAGTAGGAAATACAAACCTCATCTTTTGACTGGAGGCATATTAGTCCTATTATACCTATAGCATGCGGGATGCAAGGTATATATGTGTGTCTGTTGGTATGGCCATCTTTGAAAATTACAATCTGTCACACACATACACATTGTATAGTTGTTATAAACATCATGTTACATTAGAAAACATCCACCATAATGCCAGCCACTCTGTAGTTGCTCCATATGCATTAATTCTCTTTTCTCTTGATTTCCTTCCTTTATATAAGGAAAATATAACGGGTTTTTATTTTAAGGGACACAGGACGGAAAAGAAATAAAATGGTGCTATTTTTCTTGCATGTTCTACTATATTGAGTTGTCAGGTCAGTAAATATCCACTTTACAAATGAGGAAATTATGGCTCAAAGCTGTTTAGTAATTTTAGTCTTAAACTAATTTGGTAGGATGATTTATTTTTTGTTCTCCACTTATGTTTTAAATAAACTTTTTACTTAAGTGTAACATAAGGATATAGCTTGGTGCATTTTTGCAAACTGAACACATCTGTGTAACCAGCACCCCTGTCAGAACCAGATACTGCCAGCAACCCTCGAGTACCCTTTGTCACTTTTTCCAGTCATAGCCCCTGCCTGCCCAGCCAAGAGGAACTGCTATCGACTTTCAACATCATAGATTAGTTTTCTTGCTTTTAAGTTTTATATAAGTGGAATCATAAAGTATGCACTCTTTTGTGCTTGGCTCCTTTTGCTCCATAGTGGGTTTTTGACATTTATCTATGTCATTATCTTTCATGGTTATATGGAATTTTATTTTCTGAATATCCTACCATTTATTATCCAGTCTACAGCTGGCTGACATATGGGCTGTTTTCAGTTTTTGGCTATTAAGAGCAATGCTGTGGTCCACGTTCTTGGCAGGTCTTTAGGTAAATGTGCACTTATTTTTGTTGGGTATGCACATAACAGTGGAATGCTAGGTCAGAATTATTTGTTTGTTTGTTAAGTACTGCCTAGCAATTTATCGTACCTGCATAAAATGATATAAAATAGTGTATTGTATTGTATTAACATTTATGTCTATGTAATTCCTCTCCCTTTATTTTATTTATTCTGTATTAGGCAGGTATCCAGGGTTTATATTGCTTTGCTTTAGGATTTTGGGGTAGACATACATTAGAAGCACCTTGTAGTTAATGTCCTTCCCACTTTTTGAAGAGATAGTATTACTTATCCAGAAGAATAGTTTCACTTGAGGGAGATCTTGAGGGCAAGGAGAGTGAAATACAGAGACTGTTAGAAAGGGGATGAAAGTCAGTTGGGTTAAAAGACCCCAGGGGCCAGAGGACCCAAGAGCTGCTTCTGCTTTGTTTACGAGGGTGATCATATAATTTGTTATCCAAGTTCAGACACTTTTCAGAGTGAGAGTGTGCTATTAATCATTATGCAAGGATAATGAGTATAAGTCAGGACTGTCCCAGGCAAACTGGGATTATTTTAGGCAGCTTTAGTGGAAACTTACAAATGCAGACTCTCACATATCTTTGAATTTTTCTTAAAATATTCATGTAGCAGATCATATGGAGAGCAGTTTTGTCATCTGAAGAATGGTAGGATTAAACCTTCAGATATCTCCTGTTATACCTTAAGCTTGCACACCTATAAAGTTACGCCACGCAGGAATGTGTGTGTGTGTGTGTGTGTGTTTGTGTGTGTGTTTCCTTGCATATGTGTTGTGATATTTTAATCTCTTCATATATAGTACAGGACTGTCTATGGGCCTTATTAGAGCTGAGAGTAGGTGGTGTTTATGGTGGAGGTGGTGTGGTTCCTGTTCTGAGAAGCTCACGGTCCTAGAAGTATTTTACTTGAGGTGCTTTTTGTAAGTCTGGTAAGTTTGATCTGACCTTTTTTTCCCCCATTCTCCCTATGCAGATTTGGAAATGGTGGCTAACTTTGGGGCCATTCTCCCTTAAAGTCAGGCTTAGTCTCCAAGAGTTAATGAGAGAGGAAAATGAACCCCCAAGGTGAGCACTGAATGACATGAAATCCCTGGAGTAAAGGGGAGTTTGAGAAGAACATCCACTCCCAAGATGCTGGGTAAATACCATAATTCAGACTGTAAACAAAGAAAGTGCAATAGCCTCCCTACAGAGATAGATCTTGCAGAAATTCCCTGGGGAAACGTGTCTAGTCAGGTCCCTGAATTATCAAGCAGCTTAAATTTCCCCATGATATAGATGGCTGAGGTTTTGGTCAAAATGAGAGTTGCTGGTTTTTTATTTTTTCCCCAAAGTTGCTGGAGACCATCTGGAAAAATTCACAGACAGAAACTTGATCTATTCCTTGAGCACCTTGAAGTCTGGGGTCTACAAAAGTTCTGATTCCTTACACTAAGGGAATTTGAAGAGTTAACACGCCAAACTGTCTGCTTTCTGCACCAGGAGCACCATTATCTTTCTGGCTAATGGGAAAGAGACTGCATAAGACCCACCAAGAGGGGCCTGGAGAAAGAGAGGTAAAGATTTGATTTCTATCTATCCTGATGGTCTTCTTTTAAATCCACATCCAAGGGCTGTGGGAATTACTGATCCCTCCTCTGCTTTCAACACTGACCCTGGGTTGAGATGGAATGAAGGGGCTTGGAGGAGGCAGGTGGTAACTACAGACCTGGTGGGGAACACTCTTGACTGAGAATGCTCTTGGCATGAGAACTCTTGTCTCTCAGAGTCTAAGGCAGCAGACCCAGATTGTACTCTTGTCTTGTGGTATCTTTCTGAGACTCCTGAAGCAGCCAATTCAGGTATGCTGTCTCCTCACCTCTCACGTGGAGCCAGAATTCTTGCTGCCTATGCTGACAGAGTCCACTCCAATTTGGATTCATGATCAGTTCAGGGAAGCTGAGATACTGTCAGCGATACTATCGATAGGTAAGTGGGGGGAGACATAGATAAAGGAGAAAGAAGAGTGGGCATCCATGCACTGGCTTATTTGCTAGAACCTTCTTTTTTCCATTAGTCATACTTGTGCCAGTCGTGACTCTGTTTTGTCCTGTTTCCCCAGATAACTCACTGGAAGAGAATGACTCTGCGAAACAGCTCCTCAGTGACTGAGTTTATCCTTGTGGGATTATCAGAACAATTGGAGCTCCCGCTCTCCCTCTTCTTTCTGTTCTTAGGAATCTACATGTTCACTGTGGTGGGCAACTTGGGCTTGATTACCTTAATTGGGCTGAATTCTAGTCTTCACACCCCAATGTACTTTTTCCTCTTCAACTTGTCTTTTAGAGATCTCTGTTATTCTTGCGTATTTACCCCCAAAATGCTGAATAATTTTATGTCAGAAAATATCATCTCTTATGTGAGATGCATGATTCAGCTATTTTTCTTCTGTTTCTTTGTCAACTCTGAGTGCTACGTTTTGGTATTGATGGCCTATGATCGTTATATGGCCATTTGCAATCCCCTTGTGTACATGATCACAATGTCCCCTAGGGCCTGCTCTCTGCTGATGATTGGTTCATATGTGATAGGGTTTGCTGGGGCCATGGCCCACACTGGAAGCATGCTGAGACTGACTTTCTGTGAATCCAACATCATCAACCATTATCTGTATGAAGTTCTCCCCCTCTTGCAGCTCTCCTGTAGCAGCACCCATGTCAATGAGCTGGTGTTTTTCACTGTTGTTGGAGTGGTTATCACAATCTCCAGCATCAGCATCTTCATCTCTTATGCTTTGATACTTTCCAGCATCCTCCGTATTCCTTCTGCTGAGGGCAGATTCAAAGCTTTCAGCACATGTGGCTCCCACGTAATTGCTGTGGCTCTTTTTTTTGGGTCACGGGCATTTACCTATTTAACAACTTCTTTTCCTGGCTCTAGGGACCAGGGCAGATTTGCCTTAATCTTTTACACCAATGTGGTTCCCATGCTTAACCCTTTGATCTACAGTTTGAGAAATAAGGATGTTAAACTGGCCCTGGGCAAAACCCTGAAGAGAACACTCTTCTGATGTGTCTCTGTATCATTGGTGGTTAATTACCAGTGAGCATCATACTCAAGTACCTTTTAAACTACAAATGGAGCAATTTTAACCTTTTTCCTCATATGGGATCTTCTCTCCACTTTTACAAATTGGAAATCTCTTGCCTATACTCTCCTTGAGGATTATGTCATTTTGCACTGCTTAAAATAACTTATTGAGTGTAACTTAGTATCTATTATGTTCCTCTTGTTTACTGGATTCTTTTAGGCCCAAGAGATGAATAAGATGAGGTTCTATGCCTCCCATTCTCTTCTTGGTAGGCTAAATGAGTTTCTCCAAACAAGAGCATTTCTGACTGAGAGAAGGGGCAGGTGATGTAAGAAGATCCAGGAACATTTTTTTTTTTTTGAGTTGGAGTCTCACTCTGCCGCCCAGACTGAGTGCAGTGGCCGCTCCTGGCCACCGCAGTCTTGAGCCCCTGGGCTCCAGCAATCCTTCCGCCTCAGTCTTCCAAGTAGCTGGAACTACAGACGCGTATTACCACGCCTGGCTGATTTTTGATTTATTATAGAGATGAGGTCTCGCCAAGTTGCTCAGGTGGGTCTCGAACCTGCGGGCTCAGGCAATCCACTCACCTCAGCCTCCCAAGGTGCGGGATTACAGGCTGAGCCACTGAGTACGACTGGAATATTTTTTTTTTTTTAGTTATGTGAGCAGTCATAACAAAGAGCAAAGGTAGAAATCTTGGTATCATAGATAACATAATCTTGCAAATCTTTGAGAGACTGCTTGATCAGGAGGATCATAAATCTTCCCTTTCATGTACATGTATGTATATAAGAGAAATCCTTGCCCAGCAACTCCACGTGGCTTGATGTGTAAGAACAAATCAAAATAAAATCTTTTGTAAAACTCCAGGGCTTTGGGATGAGAAATAGGGCTAGGTAATGCTATTACTGGGTCAATTTCTTAGGCTCTGGGGAACTCAGGCTGAAAGAGAACAAAAATGAACTTTCACAAATATGAATGATTATGTAAAATGCTATCTCTGTCTTTCCTGGAGATATTGAGCACATTATGGGGCTTTTAGGAAAATTCTTTTATTCTTTAAAGTGAATTTAGATTTCACTGTCTCTGAGAAAGTGTGTGTGTGAGTGCATGTGTGTTATAGTTAATCACTAGAAAATCAGTAAGAAGAAGGAGTCACTTTCTACTCTCAGGGATTCTGGAAGGGATATGAATTTTGAGTGCCAAAGACCACTCTGTGTTACTCTGATAAAGATTCTACTATTCTATATTTAATAGTTCAGTGCTCCATGTTGCAGCCAGACTTCCTGTGGGGGAGCTGAGAGCCGCACAGAGAAGCACCTGCAGCACGGGACTGACTAATGGGATACATGAGACAAATTGTATCTTCTCCAAATCTGCTTAGTGGGAGGAGATCTTTAAAGAAGGAGGAAAACTGATACTTGGATTATGCTTCTATTATGATAATAATGATATTTATCATTTACTGAGCATTCACTATGTGTTTGTGCATTGTTTGAGGTACCTACAGATATTAACTCACTTATTGGTATTGAAGTAATAATACCATAATGAACCACTGCTAGTAAGTCCTCTGGGCCTCACTGAATCCCACTCCTCAGAAGACAGTCCATGTCTAGGTTCATGGGAATCTTGGAATATTGGGAAAGAGGATACAGAGAAAGAAAAAAATCAATTACCATTTGTATAAATGAGTAGTAAGAAAGAATAAGTCAGGGCACAGGATTTGAATGAAAAGGAACAATTATGTAACAAATGCATTAAAGTCCAAGAATAACTTTCCCTATATCCATTCCATGTTGGCATTAGGGTGAATAGAAGTGAAAGCATAAGTTTGACTTATTGAGACATTGACTTGGATCTTTTTGAAAGCAGTCCCTTTGTTACTGAGGATGACATGACAAAAACTTAGAGGCCTATAAAAGCATCTATTGCTCCCAAAGAAAACACAATATTTAACAAGTTCAGAAGGCCTTCATTTCTCTCATAAACCGAGAATTCATAATCTTGCTTGCCATTTTGGATTGGTGTTAAGGAATAGTGTGTTCTCAGTGGTCAATGATTAGAAACAGTGTTAGGGGCTTCTGCTTTATGGTAACAGAGACATGATTTGAAATTGAGCATCAGATGTCCTAACGTGAATCCTTTTGCCACAGGATTACAATTCTGTCATCATGACATTTTGATTTTCAGGAATGCCATTTTATTTTCTCTTTAGAAAGTATCCTTAAAGCTGGAATTCCTCTAGGTTCAGTCCTTGGTCTACTTCTTTTCTGAGCTCTTCCTGATGCATCTCTCCAACTTATGTGGCTTCAAAAACCACGTATTTGATGGTGACCTCTAAACCCATAATTCTGGATCATTCTAATTGTAGAATCCATAATTCTACAATTATAATCTATAATCAGTTGTAAATTGGAAACATAAAATTATTGTCAACATTGACATACAAACAGAATGCTGTAACTATTAAGTGGTGACATAGTTTTGAAGTATCAGTAGAAGTAAACTCTTTCTGATATCTATATATTCTTCTGCATTTCTAACCAGGTGTGAGAAGACAGAGATAAGTGATACTCCAAGTAGCAAGAGTGATAGACCAAGAACTTTCAGTGGATCTTGGGAAGGAAAGGGAAATACTTTTCTATATTCTGTGGAACAAATGAGAGGATGTTCACGACTGATTCAGTGTTAACCCCTAGCCTAGATACATAGCACCCTCTCTTCCTTTACGTTTTCATGAAAAATGTACTAATTGCTTAGCTGCTGGTAATGAAAGTATACTGCAGTGGCTTTAACACATAAGGGCTTATTTTTCTCCACCATAAAAGGCATCCAGGGATGGGCAGTCCAGAACTGATATGACTGTGATGAGTCACCAAAAACTCATCCTCTCTCTATCTTTTCTCTTCTCTCTCAGTAGTGATTTCATTCTCAAGGATGCATCATGATTTCCAGATGACCATCAGAACTCAAGATTTTGTCCACATTTCAAGGAACAGAAAGATACAAAGGGGAGGAAAAGCAAAAGGGTATTTTACCTATTCAATGAGTGACTGATACTGACATCTTATTAGCCACTTCTACCTGCAAGGTGGGCTGGGAAACTGATAGGGTTCGCTGGGGCCATGGCCCACACTGGTAGCATGTTGAGACCGACTTTTTTCAACTTGAGAACATTATCCTCCTTAAAAAATATAATTTTGTTACTAAGAAGAAGGGAGAAATGGCTATTGTGTAGATGACTAGTAATATCGACCAAAGGATAAGATTTCACTTGCCAAGAGGAAGCAGTTCAGAAGTGGGCACTTTTTATCCCTATTTTTGTTTTCTTACTGACTAATTAGATCTCACAGAGCAGGGAGAGTGAGTGATTAATATTGCCAAATCTCCTACATTGTATTAATAGTTGTCTTTGCACTTTTAGCAGAAGGAATTCTGGTAACCAAAGCTCTCATATTCTTATGATTTATGATGACTCCTCTTTCTTGATAGTGGGTTATTGAAAACCATATTAAAAATAACATTTCTGAGAGTACACAAAAGCCAACTCAAGTAAGACTGCGATGTTTAATTTTAACTGTCACCTTGACTGAATTAAGAAATACTTAGAGAATTTCTGGGTGTGTCTGTGAGTATGTTTCCAGAGGATGTTGGCATGTGAGTCAGTGGACTGGGAGGAGATTATCTCCCCTAAAAGTGATCAGGAACCACCAATCAGCAGGGAGTTCAGATAGAACAAAAAAGGCAGAGAAAAGGATTACCTTTCTCTCTCCTAGAACTGGAACACACTCCTTTTGTTCTTAGACATAAAAACTCTAGGCATTTTAGCCTTGGGACTCTAAGACTTACACCAGTGGCCCCCTGGATTCTCAAACCTTTGGCCCCATGCTGAGAGTTACTCTCAGTTTCCTGGGTTCTGAGGTTTTCAGACTTGAATTGAGCGACTCTACTGGCATCCTAGGTCTCCAGTTTGCAGACAGCTAGTTGTGGGACTTCTCAGCCTCCATAATTATGTGAGCCATCCTTCCTAATAAACCCCTTTCATATATTTATATCTATCTATATATCTATGTCTCTGTCTATATCTATCTATACCTTTCGCTATCTATCTTCATCAATATCATCTATCATCTATCTATCTATCATCATCTAATTAGTTATCTCTCTCTCTGGAAAACTCTGACTAATACAAGAACCATGAACAGAAGGGCTTCTTGAGAGCTAATAAAAAAATTTGACTAGGGGATCCAAAATTTTACAGACAACCAAGAAGACTTGCTCATTGTTCAAGACTCACTAGTCCATTTATTGGTTCAGCTAAACTCTTTCTAAGTGCCAAATGAAGAGTTCAATATTTCACTTTATGAGATCATTAAGACTTGAACTGTCTTTGGTTTCCAATATATAAGCACAACTACATTCCTTAAATGATAAATAAGCAGGTGGGATTGATCAATATTGCTTTTTGAAAATCCTATTTAGAATATTTACCTAATTAGAACAACTTGACATCTCCTTGTGGGTGAACAAGAGTACCTACAATCTGACAAACAGTAAAAGAACAAGCACATTTTACAGTGAAAAGTAAACACTAAGGAAGGATTTATTATTGGTCAAAATTGGGTAGTGAAGAAGGAATAGGAGGAAAAATGTATTAATTATTTTATTAATAATAATAGAAAAAATAATAGATATATTAAGGGTATTATGCAAAGTTATAAGAATACACACTAGAATAAAAACATACACCTTTTTACTTTACTAAATATCAGAATTACATACAACCAAAGAAGAAAGAAAGCAAATCACCTAGTGAATGACTTAAAATAATGTAGATGTAAAAATGCAAAACCGTATCATAAATATTACAATAGAATGAAAGAAAATATATTACAGTAGACTCCTCTTATCTGCAGTTTCACTTTTTGTGGTTTCAGTTACCTATGGTCAACCACAGTCTGAAAATATAAAATGAAAAATTTCAATAAT